TACAAAAAAATTGGTTTCTCGACAATGAGATAATGAATTCGTCTCTACTTTTTTTTCATTTGTTACATGAAAGCATGTGCATTTGATGGTTATTCCCAATTTTGGTTAAACGGATGCAATCTCGAGTTAGAGAGTCACACGCAAAACTTTTCAGCACCCCCACGTACTTAACCTAAAGTCAGCGTTGCGATGTACACGATACTCAAATGTATATTTTGCATACTTTAAAAATAAAATCAATATTAACTCTTATGCGAATTTGATGCATTATCGGACATACCTATTATCGTAAAGTGTTAACATTAATATACAAATTATCCACTCAATTATCCATATTGGACGTAATCTCGACGAGTATTAGCAGCCATTTAATTCGGACTTCCAAGTTGAGAGTAAATTATCGATATACGATTCAAATAGTAAATAGTTAGAGTTATCGGCTAAAAAAAATTGGCTTCATTCAGGGGGGTATGTGCATTGTGACATTCGTCTGCCTAACATAGTATTCATTCAAGATCATAAAGACTTCCCCTATGTTCTAATTGATTTTGAGCATGCAAGGCATGCAGATGAACCATTTGAAGAATTACTTACAGATTGGGATAGTAGAACATTAGTGAATGGACAATACACAGTGTTTTCAGAGCACTACCAAGTGGGAAAAATGATGGAAAAGTTTGACGCAATTCTCTCTGAACAGGGAAAACAATTTGTAGCAATGTTGAAGGAAAAACAAACAGCGGCAAATGAGGCTTTATTGCATGCATGGATAAATGGGACAGATTAGATAATCTTTGTAAACAAGATTGGAAAATACAAACATGAATTGATAATATGTTTCATAGCATTACTTAGATAAATGTTGTAGCTATAATAATAAAGAATTTATGACATTTTCAAAAATAATATATCACCTGTTGAAGATGGATCATATATGACTGAATTAAAAATTTTGTGCCATCCTTCAATAGTCAATGATGGTAGAGACCATATTAATATATATAAGAGCAGCTACATTGAAATCTCCAAGTTCTCTCTCTACCCATCTCTGCCTACTTCAAGGGAGACTGGCAAGAGCATAGCTTTATTTTCGTTTTTAATTACAAACATAACGACACTCTCTAGAGCAACATATAATGCTGTGATTTCTACAAACACATCCTTTAATTCTAATTCACAATCGCTACTTTTGAGGTTCAGTTATTCATTGTAACTTTCAACAGATCTATTACGAGTTCAATCCAAGGGAAGCAATCATTTTGTCACTACAATTTATCTGCCAACCAATCAAATCAAACTACTTTGCCCTTTTCACTAACAATTATCAGTCACTCCTCAAGGTATGCTTTTTGAAATGCCAACTATTATCCTGATTATGGTTTAATATCTTGCATTCAAAACTTATCCTATATTTCTTTTTTTTTCATAGTTGTGACATTTGAAGTTGCAATAAGAGAAGTTCTATCAAACTGCCAGAAATCCAGCAGTTCAACACAATATACCCTAACACCAATCACAAGTACTATAGCTTCTAGAATTGCAGCCAATAGAAAGCGAAAAATATATGATAAAGACACCTTCAAAGAAGAATTTCCAGATCTCACTGAGGATGAGGACATTAAGGATAACATGAACTATTATCCATCTGATGGCTCCTTGGAATTTTTTGAACCAAGTTTGAAAAAAGCAAAAATCACTATCAAGAATCCTAGTAACTTCTCAGGCTGCTCCAGCTTGGAAGATGCATGAAGAGACATTGATGTTGAATGCACACAAGAGGTAGGTATAAACCAAAGCATGACCAGATAGATATATTTGAGCACACTCAGTAATGCTCTGTGTTATTATCCACAAGTTGTATGAGATCAATAAAGTGCAAAGATTTCCAACTGCTATAAGATGTAATTTAGTATTAATTATCTCACATGTTAAATGTGAAACAAATGTTCTGTATAAAAGAGTCAGCCAAGTTCAAACAAGTAGATATGCAAAGAAGTATATTAATATGAAGCACAAAAAATTGCAAAACAATAAAAATATATATAGGAGTACCTGTATATGAATAATAATGAATCTAACAGTTCCAACGAATACGAAAAAGCAATCCTTTCTTAGACATAGGTTGCAAATGTGGTTGCTCGAAAATGATTCCGAGAGAGAATTACGTGAGACGTTTCAAGCACTCTCTAGATCTGAACAAGATATATTTTTAATGGCCCAGCTGACAGCAATGAATGGCGGAGAAGTAACTGCCAGTCGACGTCTTAGAAAGAAAACGCGTACTAATAAGAGAACTTTTTACTATTGAGATCGCAATACGCCACTTTGTCAGAAAACGTATCTCAATATGTTAGGAATCGGTCGCACTCACTTCGAAAATGTCAGAAATCATTTGGAAACGAATGGTATAATACCGCGTGTTCATGGTAACATAAAACGAGTGCCGCGATGAAAAACCAAAATAACCATTGACATAACCGTTGCTACTGCCGTAAAACATTTTCTCGAAAACTATGCCGAATTACACGGATTACCAAGTCCCGGTAGAAATGTTAATCGCATTACTCAATCGCTTACACTTTTGCCAGCCGAAA